TGAAGAGTTCGATACCGCACCCCCACGTCACAAATTCCAGTCAGCGCTTTCTTGGACTGGCTGGGTCGATGGCATGGGAAATTAACTGATCATACGATCCTTCTTTCAGCCGTAATGTTGACAGAGGTTTGCACAATGAGCAACATTTTGATTGAAGAGATCTTTAGTTGAATAAGTTTTTCAGGCAGGCTAAATTAGCTTGAGGTAGGAAATAAAACATATTTCTGAACTTAGGTATCCCGATGGCCCTCCAGGCTCAGAACGTTACGAGTGGAGATGGGCTACCTCGGATCCGAATGCTAATCGCAACTTAGTGCTTTTCACTAGACTACTCTTCATCTACATGGTCATATTTGCCCTAGTCACATTTGTTCAAGTAGTTGCGGAGTAAGTTTCCACTTTTTTACATATTTCGATTTCCAATAGTAGAATTTTTAGACCTTTTTTCGACGTGAGGGAGTATACTGAGAAGCAGCGGGAAGTGTCAAGAGAAGAAGATACTGTAAAACAGTCAAAGCCACGAGTCCATTTTGAATTCATTAATGAGCCTCCAACGTACACCGAACCCTGGAGGGATGTGGTCAGCTCCTATCCCAGTAGTGACTTTATAGAGACTACATACGCCCCGGTAGTGGAGCCCGCACATTCGTTGGATGCTCCACAACTGCCCGCGAATTGATTTGATGGTTGTACATAGGATATTAGCACCCATCTAGAAATGGTTATGAGCAGTAGATACGTAGAGTGTTGTTTGTGATTGGACTGTGTTTTCTTTTCGTCTTGCTGTCAAATGTAAATAAGAATAAAGTAGAAGTTTGAGAAATTATTGAAATTCATGGAAATTGAATTGTTACAATGTTTACTGATAAGCTTCAGTGCGGTAAGCAGTTGCTGTCGATGGGTTCAGTGCTTTTCTCCAAGAGTCATATCCGCCTACAAATCAATCTTAAACACAGAAAAATAATAATTTTAATTTGCTGTTGATTCTTGCATTGTGAGGTCCTTATTTTTTACTCTTTTTATTCGACTTTAAAACTCAACGTACAAGGATTCTTTATTTAAGTTCTAAAATTTATATTTTCAGCGTTTCTTGTAAGATTGATTTTTACTAGTATGACCTGTTATCCTTGTAAAAAAAATGATTTAATGGTTGGTGGAATGAAAACTTACTTCTACTTTTCGAAAAACTGCTTGGCGTGTTTCTTCATGGGCCTTTGAGTGTGTTCTGCGTTGTTGTCCAGTTATTTGTTCAAATCTTAAAGTATTGCCCTTATTGTATAAATTATGAGAGATGTAGCCCAGCGGCTGAAAGCGCTTCATGGCAATCATGCAGCATGCATGATGTTTACCTAAGACTTCTTGCTGTTATTCCTCACACTCATTTTCAATTACTTATATCCGGATTATATTTTTGTTGAATATATTCCTTTAAGAATGAAGTGGTCAAGGTTCTCCTATTAGTAAACTTTTTGAGAAAGACTTTACAATTTTTACTTCATATATGACAGGAGACAGTTCGTTTGTAAGAATAATTCTTAACTGGGCGTAAATGATGAAACTTTGTTATTACCATCTTACCATCTCAATTATATCGTGGTCATATGGTAAATGGTGAGGGCGCAGATGATTTGAGCGTTAGATATGTAAATAGAGAAAGTAGCTGGCATAATAAGCAAAATCAAGTTTGACGTTATAATAGCTTATTGTATATTAGTTTATACCAGTTTTTCGCATCCATTAATATTTTGAGAATGATGGATGGGGTAGAATGCAATCACTGTTGCATTCTGGAAATAAACATTCTACTTTTAAAAGGAGAGGTTCCAAGCGAAATTATCACCCCGGGGACACATCAAGGAATAGTTATCAGCTAAAGCCATAACCTGGTTCTCTAAGCATTGTTGCCTTTTTTACAAGGGTGCTAACACGTAGCGGGAAGCTAAAGCAAAACTTAACCCTTACATAGGCAGAGTGGGCATGCAGTCGCTTC